TCTCTCTCTCTCTCAAAATAAATAAACATTTAAAAAGCATAATTAGGGGCGCCTGGGTGGCGCAGTCGGTTAAGCGTCCGACTTCAGCCAGGTCATGATCTCGCGGTCCGTGAGTTCGAGCCCCGCGTCGGGTTCTGGGCTGATGGCTCAGAGCCTGGAGCCTGTTTCCGATTCTGTGTCTCCCTCTCTCTCTGCCCCTCGCCCGTTCATGCTCTGTCTCTCTCTGTCCCAAAAATAAACGTTGAAAAAAAAAATTTTTAAAAAGCATAATTAGTTTTTACAAAAAAAAGTACCTGTAAGGGCCATGTTTTAACTCATCTTTAATCATACCCTGTCACAACATAAAGTAAAAAAGTAATTATTCTTAGAGGGATGCTAATGTTGAAGGATGAAATAGTTGATGATCTCTTTACAAATATTTTCTTTATGTCCTCTCCAGGAATGACTAAAAAGACTTATGTGGAATCTGTACTTGAGGGTATTAAACAGTCCAAACAAGAAAACATAGACATTGATGTTAGGTAAGCAGCACTGTACCTTAGTGATCACTGTTTTAAAAACTAGAATGTGAAAATGTTGTTATTTTGATCATGAGTGTAACAGATTTTTATATATCAAACGGTAACTGATTTTACCTTAGAAAAAAAGAGTCAAGAACTCTATTGCTCAAAGTTGAGAATGCAACTCTAATTTATTCATGTGGCAGTAAAATTCTGAGTACTATTGCTCTAGAGAAGTATGGCTTCCTATTGCCTCCACTAAAATCAGAATTCTTATTGTGGCCAATAAGGTCCCATGTGATCCGGTTGCCTCTCTTCAACAGCCTTATCAGGACCACTGGTTATTACATGCTGGTTTGCTGTCTGTTCCTCAGATAGGCCAAGACTATCCCACCTCAACACCTTTGTACTAGAACACACTTCTGCCATATCCTTGCATGGCTGGCTTTTCATTATTCACTTCTCCTTTTGGTTGTCACTTGCTCAGAGGGGTCTTCCTTGACCACATTATCTAAAGTGCCCCCCAAATCCTCTAGTAACCCCATTTATTTCCTTTCTGGCATTCTTCTTAACAGGATCAGAAATTATCTTGTTTTATTTGTATATGTGCTGCTGAAGCAAGCACTGTCTTATTTTATTTGTACATATATACCCACTAGAGTGTAAATTCACGAAGCTAGGAATCTTTTCTTTTGATTCTCCACTACCCCTCTAGTACTTAGAACAGAGGTAACATAATCAGGGCTCAATAAATCCTTGAAGGAAGAAAGCTACCTGTATAGTTTCTGGCTACAAAATCTCTCCAAATTAACCTTAACTAGGCTAACACCATCCCCTCCCCTCCAAAAAAAGCAGGTAAAAGACAAGAGAATTCAGAAAAGAAGACTTACAAATGGCCAGTAAATGTATAGGGAACTGTTTAATCTCACTAATCAGACAGTTTTAAAAAGAAATATTACAATGCCATTTCAGTAGGCCCTCCCCAAAAAGGGTAATAACCAATTGTGAACTTACACACTGCTAGTGAGCATATGTAGTAAATAAAACTTTTTTAAAGAGCAATATGTATTCAGATGTATAAAAATCTTTCCCTCTGATCCAGTATCCCACTTCTAGAGATGTTTTCCTAAGGAAATAAATTGATTTATATGTAAGATTCTTTATTATAGTGTTATTTATAACAAAAAGTGGAAAAAATCCTTAAACATTCAGCAATCAGAAGACAGTTATATTTTGTTATGTTCATATGATTTATGTTGTTTTCTAACATTATTTAATGGCAGGAGAAATCGTTAAGTTAAAAAAAAAAGACTGCAGTTTATATATAGTTGACCCAAATTTTGTAAATAAATAAATGCTGGAGGAATTTATTTTTGTATGTGTGTAAAAAATTGATAAATCAATAAATGCTGGAGGAAAATTATGCAATATTAACAGGGGTTCTTTGGGTGTTAGATGCCAGCTAACATACAAAGAATGCATTTGTATCAGCTTTTGAATATGTGTTAGAATTAGAATATTACTATTTTTGTAACACTTAATGAAATAATGGATCTAAGCCTCCTGATGAAGGAACATGCCACCACCTATGAAATACTCTTGCCAAAAAATTGAATCTGATCAAGCCTGTAGACTAGATTTAATTTTCAATTTATAGGAAATATAAGAGACAGGAGAACAGGTTAGCAACACAGGAATTCATTCATCAAAATACATATTGTGGGAAGCTTTATAGGACAAAGCACCTGGTTTCTTCAACAAATAAATTCAAAAAAAGAGGTGGTGTGGGGGGTATGGAGAAGGGGTAAGGTGGGGCGTGAAGGGAGTGCCTCTAGATTAAAAGAGTCTTGGGATACATTGACCAACATAATACTTGGACTTTTGTTGAATTCTGAATCAAAAAAACTGAAAAACAAATACACGAACAACAGCAACAACAAAAACATGAGACATTTAGAAATATGAATACTAACTAGGTGTTTGGTGCTATTTAGGAATTTATGTCTCTTGCCTTCTGGCAAAGTAAGCTGTCCTGTCAGTCAGGCTATACCTTTCCTAGTAACTAACTTTAACATGTAGCCTGCTATACCTCCCTGGCTATACTCAGAGTTGTCTTTTTTATGTGTACCATATTTGTTTTCAACTTTTTTTCTTATATTAAAGGTATTTGATAGCAATCGACAGAAGAGGTGGCCCTTCAGTGGCCAAGGAGACTGTTAAACTTGCTGAAGAATTCTGGCTCTCTAATGAGGATACAGTTCTTGGCCTTGACCTCAGTGGAGACCCTACTGTAAGCTACTTTTCCTAAATACATTTTATTTCTGGAAGGTAGAATCAGTTTGTGGGGTAAGGATTAGCTTGGAGCATCCTGCATTTTCCAGAGGTCCAGCTGACTCTCAGTGTGGATGAAGACCTATTCTGCCCTGGATGACCATAATGTCTGTAGCAATTGTTCTCAACGAGGACTCTGGGAAAGAATTAGGCCTCTAAAACAGAAAAAAGAAAATGATTAGCATGGCAATATGATTATTTTCTCCATTCTTCTAAAGATGCTACCCAGTATCTTTCTATATGCATAGGAGAGAAGTTAATTTATTACATACAATGCATATTTAATGCTTAATTAATACTTCATTATGACTAGGGCTTAATTATCTCATAGAACCCCCAGTTGAGAGAGGCTGGCCTACAGCTTCTTGAATGTCAGATTCAAGAACAGTGTCTAACCTGTGGCACTATTGACATTCTGGGCCAAATAATTCTTTGTCCTGGGAGGATGTCTGTGTATTGCAGGGTGTTTAGTAGCATCCCTGGTCTCTCTATCCACTAGATACCAGAAGCACCTTCCTAGTTGTGACAACCAGAAATGTTTCTAGATATTGCCAAATGTCCCCTGTGGTGGCAGAATTGCCTCTAACTAAAAACCATTGAATTTAGGGAGTCCCAGGAAACTGGTTCTTATGGCTTTGTCTAAACCTGGATTATTCTGCTCTTGTTTCATTCATCTATTTGGTAGAAGCTTTCTTTGCTCTAATCATCCAGGTTTCTGAATCAGGTGAGTTCTCCTCCTTAGTGCTAGATATCTAGATTTCCTTTCAGAAATAAAATTTGGTGACCTCCATACCTAGCTTGGCTGACTGACCTCGGGTTCACGAGACTTAACATTCTTGAGGGCAGGGATTGTGTCTTTGCCAGCTTTGTATTCCCTAAGGTGTCTAGCACATTATAGGTGCTTTATAAATGAAATTTTCAAATGAATCAATCTGCCATTTTTTCTTGCCATTATTTTTATTCCTTTGTTTACTGAGACAGAGTACCCAATTCTTTAGTTTGCCTAAAATGTTAATGCATCTTTGTTTTAACTTTTATCTTCAAGGTAGGACAAGCAAAAGACTTCTTGGAACCTCTTTTAGAAGCTAAAAAAGCAGGTCTGAAGTTGGCATTGCATCTTTCAGAGGTAAATAATATTGTAAAATTAGGCTGAGAAGGTAGATTACAATGAAAATAATAATCATTTGTAAATGGGTAAAAGTAAACCTGCCTTGGAAAAACATTTTTTTAGAGGAGGAACATAGAAATGTTTTAAAATGTAAATTATAATGGTAAAGGCATGACTTTCTTTAGTCCCTCATGTTACTGTTTTTATGTCTTTGTGGTTCCTGGGGGTGGCTGTTGACTTGCATTACAGCTGTGTTATTAAAGCAGCTTAATGACGTCTTACTAGAGAAAAATGCATAAATTTTCATCATCAGGCTTGTCATTGGCCAGCTGACACTGAGAAAAGCACCAGTTCATCTCACTTGTCTTTGTAGGATAAGGGACCTGAATGTATGACATACACTAGTAAGAAAGAAAGTAACTCATCATTATTTTATAAGGCTTATCAGAAGATCAGGTGCCCTTCATTGGGCCTCAGCTCCTTGGCAACATGAGCACAATGACAGACAATGTACAGATAATGGTGGGAGAACAGTCACTTTCGTAAGCACATCCCTGTGAGGCAAAGAAGGGTGTCTACTACACTTTCCCCCATTTTACAGATGGATTTACTTTGTACCTCAGCACTTCTACCAATTTTTTTTCCTTCCTTCCTTCCTTCCTTCCTTCCTTCCTTCCTTCCTTCCTTCCTTCCTTTTCTTTCTTTCTTTCTTTCTTTCTTTCTTTCTTTCTTTCTTTCTGCATACAAAAGCTGTACATAATTATTGTATACAACTTGATGAGTTTGGGGTTTATTGTCTTGAGTGCAGGAAATAATACTTAAGCTACTTATCTCACAAGTTTATTGTATTAGGTGCAGTAATATGTAAAGGTTGAATAGCATCATGATTTGAGGCAAAAATTAGAGCTTCTTGTCAATACTGATGTTTTTCATTTCTACAAGCAAAGAGTCAGTAATCTAGTGGAAGAACTTAAAATCTAGGATCTGTGTTTCCACAGTCTGATCAAAAACCTCTCTCACTCATAGGTTAGCCTCTAGCTGACCTAACTGATGTCTGATTTTTAGCTATAGGTCAGTATAATGGAACAGCCAGCATGTTTTACTGTGACTGGTTATCTCTGGTTTTGGGCAACTGCATCAGAACCTTCTCTTTACCTTAGTCTCTATTGCTTTTCTTGTTTGATCCATAAAACATTTCATTTCAAAAAAAATTTTTTTAATAAAAAAATAAAACATTTCAACATGTTATGGTCATTTGTATTTTAGGCTATCCAGCAGATAAAGAGCACAGCTAGACCTTTTCATGGTAGTTGGGGAATGTCTAGCTTTGTCAAAATAAAACATGCACATCTGAGCCCTGAAGTCAGAGCTCCATGACCTTAGACCAAAAAAAAAGACAAAAAACAAAAAAACAAGCTTTATGTTTTGACTGCAAAAGTTAGGTGTATCTGAAGAAAATCCAAGTATAGAGAAGTATAATGTAGAAGGAAAAAAATAAAAAATGGAGGGTCTGCTTTCCCATTTCAGTTCTGCTCCCACATTGATCCTATTACTTTCTCTGAACTTTAATTTCTTCATCTTAATACTTTGTAAGATTCTTGTGAGGTTTAAAGGAGAATTTATGTGAAAAGGCATAGAGCAGGGCTGTGTTTGTTGTTATTATTACCTTTGCTGTTAACTATATTATTGTCATTGAAGTGAATCTAGAAGAATATTGGGAAATGAAAGATAAAGGCAAAGAAGAGAGCTGGGAAGGTATAAGTAGTTCAGCTTTCCAGAGTGTCAGCATTATCTTCTTTGAGGGACAGAGTAGCTGGCTGTAGAAAAAAAAGTACTTTGGAGAACCACTGGAAAGGTTGTTCATTCTCTCTCTCTCTCTCTCTTTTTGAGATTCCAAACCAAAAAAAAGAAACACAATTACTTCTGGATCTACTTCCTGACAGAATTGGGCATGGGACATTTCTCAACTCCTCTGAGGGAGGATCGCTGGAACTGGTAGATTTTGTGAGGCAACACCAGATACCACTGGGTAAGGCTTGGGGCTTTAAGTCCTCCAGACAACACTGTGTGCCTTTGTCCCCAGCCACCAGGTTGCATGCAACCCAAATGTAGAGGAGTACTGTTCTAAATATGTAAGTGTCATTTAGAAATAAAAAGTTGCATGGTGCATGTGCTTCCTGAGCCTCATTTAAATAACAGAAAGTTTTACTACCTTCCATTAGAATATAAGCTCCATGAAAAGCAGGGCCTTTGTCTTGTTCACTGCTACATTCCCTAGTTCCGGAAACTCAGTATTATATTGAAGGAATAAGGGTCATCTAGTATTTTTAAATGACTTTAACCAAATTAATATGAGTTATGAAAATATGTGACATTTATTTAAAAATTAAGAATTAAAGGGGTGCCTGGGTGGCTCAGTCGGTTATGCATCCGACTTCGGCTCAGGTCATGATCTCATGGTCTGTGAGTTCAAGCCCCGCGTCGGGCTCTGTGCTGACAGCTCAGAGCCTGGAGCCTGCTTCGGATTCTGTGTCTCCCTCTCTCTCTGACCCTCCCCCACTCATGCTCTGTCTCTTTCTGTCTCAAAAATAAATAAACATTAAAAAAAATAAAAAATAAAAAATAAATAAAAATTAAGAATTATGGATGATTCCAAGTCCTATTTTTATATGTGTGTTGACTATTACATACTTGTTTGTCTACATCTGTATCCCTGGAGTTGCTTTTATTTAACAAGTATTTATGAAGTGCCTACTCTTTTCTAGTCACTGTTCAAATGGCTGGGAAGAGAGCAGTAAACAATACAGGCAAGATTTCTTTTTCAAGGAACTTATATTCTAGCATAGGTAAGAGAGGCAGTAAACAGTTACACAAGAAAATGTCAGTGTTAAGTTCTTTGAAGAAAGTTAAACAGTATGATATAATAGTGATGAGATAACCACTTTCAATTGGATGGCCAGGAAAGGCCTTTTCTCTAGAGGGAAAAAAGCAGTTGGCTGAAAACTATTTTACTAACTTATCAACTTGCTAAATTTGCAAATTGATCAATTGGCAAAAACGTGTGGGTGTGTGTTTTTTAATTACTGATAGAGTTTTCAGCAATTAATAAGTTTTTTTTTTTTACTAAGGACATTAAAAAAATTTTTTTAATCTTTATTTATTTTGAGAGAGCAAGAGAGAGACAGAGCGTGAGCAGGGGAGGGGCAGAGAGAGGAGACACAGAATCCGAAACAGACTCTAGGCTTAGAGCTGTCAGCACAGAGACCAGAGCAGGGCTTGAACCCATGAACCGTAAGATCATGACCTGAGCTGAACTCAGACCCTTAATCAACTGAGCCACCCAGGCGCCCCATAAGGATATTTTTAAACATCCATAAAAGTAGAGAAAATGGAAACCACTTGCATAGTGATCTTAGTGTGGTGGCCCAGCTCTGCACCCAGCAGAGTGAGGGAGCAAGTGGCTATCCCTTGGACTGAGTGGGAGGCTGCCTTACCCTACTCAGCAATCACCATCAGTCAAGTCAGTGAAGTATTTCTGCTCTGGCTGGGGTAGCTGGGTACAGTGTGTCAAGGCAGGAATTTGCTAATAATAGAAGTCATTTTTTTTTTTTAATGTTTATTTATTTTAGAGAGAGAGCACAAGCGGGGGTGCAGAGAGATAGGGAGACACAGAATCCGAGGCAGCCTCCAGGCTCTGAGCTGATAGCACAGAACCCGATTTAGGGCTTGAACCCACAAAGTGTGAGATCATGACCTGAGCCAAAGTTGGCGCTCAACCAACAGAGCCACCCAGGCACCTCTAGGTGTCATGCTTAAGATGGACTTACTTGCAGCCGACAGTGAATAGACAGTTGTCTGAATAAAGAAGCTTAGGGATTTTCTTGAAGTTCATTTCTGCTCTTGGCTTTTTTAATGCTATAGCCCTCAAGCAGTGCTACCATTTTGTCTTAGCCTCTACTGTAAGATGAGGAAGAAGTGCAGCAACCCTTCAAAAATTCCTTCATCAGGGGCGCCTGAGTGGCTCAGTCAGTTGTGTCAAAGATTTCGGGTCAGGTCATGAGCTCACAGTTTGTGAGTTTGAGCCCCACATCTGGCTCTGCGCTGACAGCGTAGAGCCTTCTTGGGATTCTTTCTCTTAGTCCCTCTCTCTCTCTACCTGTCCCCTGGTTGCACTCTCTCTCTCTCTCAAAATAAATAAATAAACTTAAAAAAAAAAAAAAAAAAGAACAGTTCCTTCATTCTACTTCCCTGCTTTCTCCAAGGTGACTGACTGCCTTTTACTTTTCTCTTTTTACTCCATTTCCACATGGCTGTGGAGGGGTAGGAGTTCCCTGCCTGGTACAGTTGCTGCCGTAAGTTGCAGCATATATTTACACACAACTACACTATTTGAACTACGAATTTTCACACATAAGGTCAATTTTGTAAACTCAGGAACTACTGAAAATTAGCATACTTTGGAAAGATTTCTCATGTGTCTGCTTGGTGAACACATGAGTGAGTCTACTAATCTGCTTTTAATAAGAGACTTTTTTCTCCTTTCATCTAGAACTCTGTTTGACCTCAAACATCAAAAGTCAGACGGTTCCGTCTTATGACCAGCATCATTTTGGATTCTGGTACAGCATTGCCCATCCTTCTGTGATCTGTGTAAGGTTATTTTGTTTGAAATACTTTGCTCCATTTTAGTTCCAGCGGTGCATTAGGTCAGACATTCACCTCTAGCTGAATGCCTTGCATGCCTGAGGGTAGCACCCAAGTAGAAGAGTAAGAGGGGATCAGGGCAGGAGGGGCTGCAGAGGGCCAAGGGAACTCAGGTTTGGCTCTATGGGAAAGGGTCCTGGATAGTACCCAAGGGAACATAAAAAAATACTGATGCCCAATACCATCCCTTGAGATTCTGTTTTATTTGATCTGGGGTGAGTCCTGTACACAGATACATTTTAAAAGCTTCCTAGGTGATTTTTAAATATGCAGCCATAGTTGAGAGCCACTAGTCTGGTGTTTATAGTTTTTGTTTTAAAAAGGACAAATAAGCCCATTTCATTATAGACATGCATGAACACATTTATAGGCCTATTTAGGCTCTTAAAAGAAGCATGGTAAATATTAGGAAAATAGAGTGTAAACAAAAGTTTTTTCAAAAATTATTTTCTTGTTCATTTTAAAATTTCTTGGTTTTGTTTTGTTTTGTTTTGTTTTTTGGCAGACCGATGATAAGGGTGTTTTTGCAACACACCTTTCTCAAGAGTACCAGCTGGCTGCTGAAACATTTAATTTGACCCAGTCTCAAGTGTGGGATCTGTCTTATGAATCCATCAACTACATCTTTGCTTCTGACAGCACCAGGTCTGAACTGAGGAGGAAGTGGAATCATCTGAAACCCAGAGTGTTACATTTTTAAGCTGCAGTGAGATAAACTACTTTTGACTATGTGCTGCAACCAGGATCTTCCTGCCATATCCCACTTAGTAAACCGTCCACTGCTCCCTTTGAAGCACAGCAGCCAGCTACCATAGGTTCCATCACCAGCACCATATTTGTGGTTGGTGCTCAGTAAACATGTCTTAAACTGACTGCAGACTCTGAGGTCTTACAGAGCTTACCTCTAAGCTGCTTACTGGAAGGGACTTGAAAGTGGCTGCTAACTAAACTCCCCATTCCACCAGTTCCTTTCCATTAGTGATCATAAAACTTAAGGAAAATCAAAGAAATTTCTCATCAGGAAGAATTTTGGAGTTACTAATCTAAATAAGATGAGGAGAGGGGAAAACAGATTGCCACCAAAACCTTTAAGCCTTGTAGCTTGTGGCAACAGCTCTCTGTATTTTGTTGTGCTTATTTTAATCAGACTCCCTTCATTTAAGTATTCCCCGAAACCCCAGGCTATACTACATACCATGGATTTTTGTGAATATCCAGTAGTCAGGGTTAATCTACTTTGAATGACCCTAGTGACAGATAAAGCTAGCTTCTGAGATCTGACTTTGCCCTTCTCATGATTAATTCCCATGGAATCAAGGTGGTGGTTCTTTAAAATGTTCCTACCTTACCCTTCTCTTATTTTGACCATAATGGAGCTATGCCAGCCAGATATTTCTTGAACTCTAAAGTACTTTGGGCTTCAATCCAGCCTGTAATCTGACTTCCAGTTGTTCCAGAGTTTTGTTTCTGAAAGAGCCCCACGGTGGGTGTAGGAGAAATTTAAGGTCCTAACGAAAATATTTCCATATTAATATCTGTTATTATTTAAGTACTGTGATATCAGAGAATATATGTGAAAACTTTGAGATACGCATCTCCCTGGATAGTTATTTGAGTATATAGGAGTAGATTTCATTTTAGATTTTGAATTGAATAATGGAAGAATTGAGTGTTCATATCTCATCTTCCCTTTCCTTTTTTAAAAAAAAAACTTTGGGGGGGGCACCTGGGTGGCTCAGTCCGTTAAGCGTCTGACTTTGGCTCAGGTCATGGTCTGTGGTTCGAGCCCGCCGGCTCTGTGCTAGACAACATTCGCTTGGAGCCTGCTTGAATTCTGTCTCCCTTCTCTCTCACCACCCCCATGCTGTCCTATCTCTGTAAATAACAAACATTTTTTAAAAATTTAAAAAAAATTTTATGTTTATTTTTGAGAGAGAGGGAGAGCATGAGAGGGAGAGCATTTTTATGTTTATTTTTGAGAGAGAGAGAGGGAGGAATGAGTGAGAAGAGAGGAATAATCGGAGTGGGCTCTGTGCTGACACACAGCATGCTCAGGCGAACTTGAACTCACAAACCATGAGATACATCTGAGCCAAACCATGTCCAGCCCCTGACTGAGACACCCAGGCACCACGCTTTTTTTAAGAGTTTATTTTTACAACTTATCACCAACTGGGGTTTAAATCCACTTCACGCCCGGGATCAAGAGTCACATGTTCTACTGACTGAGACCAGCCAAGTCCCCTCCCTTATTGTCCCTTCCCTAATTGGTTCCTACAGAGTGATAAGACCAGCCCTCCTACTCTGACTATAATCAAAAGAGAAATGGCAACACAAGAAAAACCTATGTTTTAAGTTCTGTGGCACTGGCCATAGAGCAGCAATTCAAAGGGGTGAAGAATGCAGGTGCCTGACTGTGCTCAGTCATTAGGAGCATACAAATCTTGATCATATGGTCATGTTACGTTTGAGCCGGTAGAGTTTTTTTTTTTTAATTGATTCCATGGAAAAATAGAAAAAGTATGAACAGCACAAGAAACAACTAAGGGAGGATAGGACTCCTAGTGCTTCCTACTAATACATTCTTGCTTCGCTTTGTACACATGCCGCTCCATCTCCCACAAGGTTTTCTTATGAGATAAAGGGCAGGTAGGCTGGGTGGCTCGGGTTAAGCGTCCGACTTCAGCTCAGGTCATGATCTCACGGTTCATGAGTTTGGGCCCCACGTCGGGTTCTGTGAAGCCCAGAGCCTGGCCTGCGCAGATTCTGTGTCCCCCTCTCAATACCTCCTCCCCACTCATGACTCTGTCTCTTGGTCTCACAAAAATAAACATAAAAAAAATGAAAAAAAGAAGGAGCTCTTGGGTGGGTCATAGTGTTAAGCGGTCACTTCAGCCAGTCACGATCTCTGGTCTGTGAGTTCGAGCCCCAGCGTCGGGCTCTGTGGTGATGACTCAGAGCCTGGAGCCTGTTTCTGATTTGTCTCCCTCTCTCTCTGCCCCTCCCTGTTCATGCTCTGTCTCTCTCTGTCCCAAAAATAAATAAACGTTGAAAAAAAAAAATTTAAAAAAAGTCATATTAAAAAAAAAAAAAAGAAAAAAAGAAAAGGGCAGGTTAGGGTGCACAGATCCTCTTGCTCCACCTACAGTAGCCTTGGTTTCTCTCTTAGAATGTGTAGACTATTATTTCTTGCTTCTTGCCTCAGGAGTGGCAGATTGGGTAGCAGAAAATGGTTTGTAAGCTAGTTTGAGATGAAATAGGCATTTCCCAGTAAGAGTTTGCCTTTGCCCTATTCCTTTTGTACATTCTCTTCATCTGTAGATTGGAGGGCTGGTCCTGGGTGTTTTAAAATAAGATTTACTCTCCATGCCCAGTTATGACACAGGCCCTAATGGACTGTCCCAATGAATAGAGATACAGATACCAACGAATGATTTTTATTCTAATTTCTCTTTTACCACTTCCTAATTTGTTTCTCAGTCTAGAACATAAAGATTCAAACAGGCATATTTCTAGTATGCCCACATAGGGAGCTTTAAAAAAGCAGGTAAAAACGTATATTTTCCTTGCAGCAACAACTTAATAACTTGCACATGTACATTTGGGTGGGGGGGGGGGGGGGGGGGAACACCAGAAAGAAACACTGGGTACTTTATAGACATAATTTTTTATTAACATGGTATCCCTGAGAGGCAGATTAAGGTGTAAACGTTATTCTGATTTACAGAAAGGGAGATGGATACAAACAGGTTGACTTACACACAAGACATCTGGAACCAGAATTCATATCTGCTGATACACCAACCGATGCTTTTTACACACAACTACACATAAATATACTAAAGACAGTAATCTCTCATTTTCAGAAACATTCTAGCACACTTACTAAACCATCTCAGATCCTGAGGCACTGCTTTAGACTGGTGTTTCTTCTATCATAATACCTTGTTTCCCAATTTTCCCATTTCTCACCCACTCAGAACTCAGTTCTGTGATTTATTTTGGAAAGTTTATCCCATTCTAATTTACCTAGTAACCCTCCTTCCTTTAAACACTTGCTGTTTCATGAAGCCTTCCTGAATAAAGAGAAAAAAATACCTCCCAGATTTTTCTTATAGAAAATTATAATGCATTAGATCTTAACATTTATGCATAATGTTACTATATTTCTAGATTTCTCTAAAACTGTTGCAGCTCTACATGTGCATTTATTGTTTGTCCATGTCAGTGTCATCTGTTTTAGACTGTAAGGACAAGGACAGAGTCTGTTTACCTTGTGCTCTACTATGAATATATGGGCAATTAATTCAATACTATTTGGTTATACATAGATCAGAATTATACTGGTGTTTGAGAGCTTCTAAAAATAGGTGTGTACAGTTGAATGTGTGCGTGTGCATGTGTGCAAGTATTGGCAACTCCAATGACCAAAAATAATCTGTCCTCCCTGCCATTAGGCTAGAGTTGTTGGCACAAAGTGGTCTGTTTCCTAATCCATGGGAACATGGCAGTGGCTTCTGCTCAGTGCAGGTTAGTATTAAGTGCCCATGGGGTACATAACACTAAACTAGGTGTCTGGAGTGTGTGGAACACAGCCAATTCCCCACTGGCAGCTTTAACTGCTTTCTCTCTCAACATATCCAGCTGGCTTGCTCTTTGCACGCCTGGACAAGAGATAGATGAAATTCAGATGAGATGGAAGAAGAAAAAAAGATCAAACTAGATGCTCTAAATATTACGCTATTCGAGAACATCTAAGACTTGGAAGAAACTAAGAAATTCAGGGTTCATAACTCAGTATTTATACAAGGTTTACAATGTTTCCCCATACAGACACCTAGGCTTTTGACAAATTCTTTACTAGGTCAGAGTCAAGGTGGACATTAAACTCTCGTGTAAGGTAAATGAAGTGTGCATGACATGTCATTCTGAGCACAGGCTTATGTGAACACGAAGAGCCATTCTTACTTGCATTTCCTTTACTATATAAAGAGCTAGACCCACTCAATTAGAAAAGTCTCACAACTTCTCCCTGAAATGGTGCTGTGATAAGTTTTTCCAGTTGAAATACAGCTGAATAACAGGATGAATAAATAAGGGTATACATCAAAACTATAGGATCTACTACCTAGTCCTGTCTATTAAGGGAACAACATAGGCACTGAGAGGTAAAGGTGTCATCTGTCATTTCAAATACAGGCAAGGAGAGGGACTGAAACCATCCTCTCATTCTTAAGATGACTGCCTTGGGATTCATAGATCCAGGAAAAACATAGGAACAAAGGGTGGGGTAAATCCTAGAGTGTTTCATAAGCTAGTTGGGCAGAGAATAGGAGATGGATCTCACTATTGGCAGACTTTTTCCAACCATTTTGATATATTTCTTTTCTTTAAATTCTCAGGAGCTTACTTAGGTGCCGACTGTGACAGAAGTTTTTCTCGTGTATGGATTTCTCGGTGCTTATTAAGAGCAGAGCTTTTACTAAAGCACTTGCCACAATCACGACACCCATAGGGCTTCTCTCCTGTGTGGGTTCTATGATGTGCACGTAAGTCAGAGCTCTTACTGAAACTCTTTCCACAGTCAGGACACACATGGGGTCTCTCTCCTGTATGTATCCTCCGATGTGCACTGAAATGAGAACTGTTGTTGAAGCTTTTTCCACATTCTTCACATTGATAGGGCTTTTCTCCTGTGTGGGTTCGCTGGTGAATTATAAGGCTTGAGCTCTGATTGAAGCGTTTCCCACACTCACCACATTGATACGGTTTCTCTCCTGTGTGGATTCTCCTATGGGTGATGAAATTTGAACTGTCACGGAAACTTTTCCCACAGTCAAGACATTTATAAGGTTTCTCTCCAGTGTGGATTCTCCGGTGTCTAATGAGGCGTGCACTCCTACTGAAGCTTTTCCCACAGTCAGCACATTTATATGGATTTTCCACTTGATGGGATATCTGATGCATGAGCTGGGAGTTCGGACCAAAGCTTTTGCCGTATCTGAGATATTTATAGGGTCTCTCTCCCAAATAAGGTTTCTGATGATTTAGAACTTTACCTAAACTCCTTTCTGGGAGTGTTGATTTTCCTCTTCTCTCCCCTGGGGTCTTTTCCCACTGTCGTTCTGATCTACATTCAGTGTCACTGCCTTTACCCTGATTAAGATGCCAGGGAACTTTCCTTTCTGACCTTGCAAGTAACGTCCTATGTAGTTGTACTTCCTCAGAAATATCTCGTTTTACATTCTCTTCGTTATCAAATCCAGCCTCAAAACCTGATATGAAAATAGAATTTTAGAAGTTATCCATTTCTTCAATATTACGTGCCAGGGTTTAGGCAAGTATCACATTAGATTATTAAAGGTAAAAATTAGGAAGGACTAGATCCCAAATGACTACTATCAATTAAAATTCCAATTTTTTACTCCTCTAGTTAGTAACCTATCACATGCTTCTCATCTAGTACAGGGACTGATTAATATATTCTTTTAACTCTCCCTGGATACCCACGATCTTCAGAAAATCCTCTCAGTATAACAAGTAAAACTTACCAGCTTTAAGATATGTCCATAAATACCCAGGAAAACCCTGAGAAACACCTATATCCAGAAGAGCTACATGAGTCCCCTTCCCCTCAGATTCCTTTATGTTGAGAATAAAAACAGAGTAGAAAAATATTTGGTGTCTTTCAAAGAACAGAAGGCTTTCTGAGAGAGAAATTTTGCTAGAAAGTATCTCCCTAAAACATTCTCTTTTCCCATGGAAAACTAATCATGTAATGTTCCAAAAGCACTACTCTAATGTCCAAGCTAAGCTTTTAATACATTTTTAAAATTTTTTAAATTTTTTTTAATGTTTATTTTTGAGAGAGAGAGAGCACAAGTGAGAGAGGGGCAGAGACAGAGGGAAACACAGAATCCAAAGCAGGCTCCGGGCTCTGTGCTGACAGCTCAGAGGGGCTCAAACTCAATGAGCTGTGAGATCATGACCTGAGCCAAAGTTGGATGCTTAACTGACTGAGCCACCCAGACACCCCTTTAATATTCTTCTAAGAACCAAACACCAGGCTTCCCAGGCCCAGGTTATGTGAATTTGTAGATACTTGCAGATTTTCAGTTTGTGAATGGACTTTGAATTTTCAGATGTTTCAGATAAATTCTGGATCCCAAATTCTCTGAGCTAAATCTGAGAGCAAAGAAATACTGAGTGTCAGCCTGCTTATGTACCCCTGAAAGACAGTATTTCTACCCAAGAGCCCAGTCTTATGAGATGCCCCATGAGATAGAGACTTGTTAGATTCAGTTTAATCTCAAAACCTTAAATATGTGAGTATGTACTGTGAGCCTCCAAGGAGAGTAATCGAGCATTTCCTAAACGTAGAAGGCATTTTTTAGTGGAACATACTAATATCCCGATGGACATAATGCTCCACAGAACACCCTTGAGGAATGCAGATCTAAAGAACTTTTGGAAAAGAAAATTATTACTTATTAGATACTTACTATGTGCCTAAGCACTGTGCTAGGTGCTTCACCATAGTACCTCGTTTATGTCAATCTTAATAAGGTAGGTCTTAATATATAAGCAAACCTGCAGGGTTAAATAACTCGCTCTGAGTCACTCGGCTGACTAATGGACACGAGAATGCAGATTCACGTACATGTATGACTCCAAAATCAGAATTATTCTTCCCACAAGGAGGGAAGCCATAGTGAAATATTTCTTTTTCTGACACAGCAGTTAAGATTCAAAGGGTCAATTCCCTCAGGAATCATAGACTTTTGCCCAGCTGTATCTGAAGAAAGAGGTTATCAGGTTTTCATATGTGTGAATAAAGCAGATATATAACTGGTAATACATAGTGGAACTAGAGGAAAAAGCATTAATAAGAATGAACTTTAAAATCAACTTCATCGCACTATGAGTATACAGCATGCTATCTGGGAGATGTTAGCTTTCATATGCCCTGCTAGGTAAACTGTCTAACAGCTCAGATATAGACAGCAAATTTATAAAGTCTGCAGCCATCAGATTGATGCTGTAGTATGAGAAGGCAAGTCAGGTGAATCATTTATATACCCTCTGAGCTGTTTTAATAAGAAGGAAACATGGAGAACAGATAAAGTGGTCACAAGAATTCATGAGAGCTGGGTATAGAGGCCAGTCTTCTGGTTTTCAGTTTGTGGATTTTTCTCCTAAATCCCACTGCCTCCCCTTTGCTACTTAAATCTTAAGAAGTAAAAGGATTGGGGCACCTGGGTGGCTCAGTCGGTTGGGTGTCCAACTTCAGCTCAGGTCATGATCTCACGGTTTGTGAGTTTGAGCCCCACGTCAGGCTCTGCTGACAGCTCAGAGCCTGGAGCCTGCTTCAAATTCTGTGTCTCCCTCTCTGTCTGTCTCTCTGCCCCTACCCCACTCACGCTCTGTCTCTGTCTCTCTCTCAAAAATAAATGAACACTAAAAAAAAAAAATTAAAAGAAAAAAAAAGTAAAAGGATCTTACCACTGGGACTCTGGAATAAGACTGGAGCACGGGTCATGACAACCTCTAAGGGTACCTCAGTATCCTCTTCATCATCCTCAGAATCTTCTTCTATGGTCTCTTCTGCCACCTCAGCTTGCTTCTCAGCTTCAGTCTCATTGACCTCCTGGATGGGGCAAGAGGCTGTCTCCTCTTCCTGGCCATCACTGGATGGGGCAACAACCCTGGCACTCACCAAAGCATCCATTTCTTCAAAGAATGGACAGGTCTCTGGTGCTTGGCCATTCTTGACTTTCCGATAGCTGGTTTGTAGGCTTTTAAACTTGGTCCGACACTGCTCTGGTGTCCTAAGGAATCCATATTCCCATAACCGCTCAGCCACTGCTCCATACAACTGGCTGTTGCGGTGACAGTTCTGGAGGGCTTCGTAGAACTGAGTCTCACTAAGAATTGCAAGGTAAGTCTTCGTCTCTTCATAACCCCAGTGTACACCTGCCACCAGAAAAGAAATTTCAGCACCACTTAATGCACGCTTTATAGCCTTAATTCCTCAGCCCTATCAAGTGCACGATGAAAAAATCACCTAAGCTTGGGCTTCTAGGTGAAAAAATAAAAACACTTCATGTTTCCCAAATCTATACAAACTCATTATAGAATGTTTTGCTTCTCTATATTGTATAGCAATTTCATGGGGACCTTTATTCCTACATTCTGTTCAGCCATTAAAAAAGGAGGATGCCTGGGTGGCTCAGTCAGTTAAGCACCCGACTACAGTTCAGGTCATGATCTTACGGTTTGTGAGCTTGAGCCCTGCTTCCCACTCTGCACTGTCAGCATGGGATTCTCTCTCTCTCTCTCTCTCTCTCTCTCTCTCTCTCTCTTGCGCCCTCTCTGTTAAACAAACAAACCTTTCCACCAGATCACTGAAACAGTCATTACATACACTGAGTCAAGAGTACAGGATGCCTTTCCCCATTCTTCTAGTATGGGGATTCTCTGGAATTCTGATCCTAACTAGAAAATAACTGGTCAAAGGAATAAGACCCAGTCAATCACTGTCATGAGTCATTCCTAACTTCTCAGATCATTCTTTTTCCACCAGCTGTACTTCCTTATGAATTAAGTTTTCCAAAGAATGACTCAAGACCCCAAAGAACAGTCTCTTTCACACTTTCACACTTGCCTAATCCCTATTAGGACCCTTCTTCATTTGCCACGGTCTCAAAAATGCAAGCCCAGTAACAGCAAAGACCTGAAGGGTACAAGAGAAGACCTGATAGTAATGCACCTTATTATCCTTAGGACTGAAGGACTGGTTGGAAGCCAGAAAGAAGGAAGCAGCGCAGACAGCATCTCCTGTCCTGAACATTTACTAGTGCTGCAGCCCCCCCCCCCCCCCCCCCCCCGCCAACCTTGGGCTAATATTACTTCAGTATGATTACAGACTCTGCTCCCTGAAGGTCCCCATGGTAGAGGGAAAGGAGATTCACAGAGTCTTCCTCCCACTGGCCAGCCAACTGGAGAGGACATTGCTTCCATTATCCTCCGCTTACTGCAGGTAAAGGAGTGGGGGAAAGAATTGAAAAACAGAAAAAGCAGTGGAAAAAGATGAAAAGAACAAAGATAATGAAAATAGCAGCTAGCACATGTGCCACATCTGTGGTTTACCTGCACTTACTCCAGTGACAAAAAGAATGAAAGATTTTGAGAAAGGAAAAAGTGGAAGATAGGAAGACAAGAAGAGTAGAACACAAAGTAACAACACATACAGTAAAAAAATGAAAGGAAAAAAATCACTTCACGGTGAAACTGCAATTTTACAGATGTAGTCCTGCTGCCATGCCCCATTTTACATGTGAGGAAACAAACTTTGAAATGGTCAGATAACTAAGGTCGCCTAGGTGATGAGTGGTCAAGATTAGAAACAAGGCCTCTTGACTCATATTTCGGTGCTCTTTCCATAACAACATAGTTATACAACTTATATCAACAGTAATAAATAACACTTAAAAACAGTTCCATAGGCAAATAATATTTCAAAAAAGTGTTAAAACAAGATTTCTTACTATGTGTGTTGCAAATCTCATAGAGGAGTCTTAGAAAACGTTTCTAACTTCGGGCAGTCCTTCTCTAGGCTAGGCTATGTAGAAAGGAACACATAATAAATTGACATTGAGAAGTGGGGAAATAAAAGATAAAACACCAGTTTGTATAAGGTGCTCAGTAAATATTCTCCTTAAAGCTAATATAGTTCTGGGTTTTTCTCAGCAGTAAATGATTTTATAATCAGGAAAAAAAAAAAATTTTAATAAGGAAATGGAAGAAATGATACTTTTTTTTTTTTTTAAGTAGGCTCCATGCCCAACGTGGGGCTTGAACTCATGACCCCAAGATGAAGAGTCCACATGCGCCACTGACTGAGCCAGCCAGGGGCCCCAGGAATGATATTATTTTTAAGAGCTCTCTAGAATTTTCTAAGTGTATTTCTTTAAAATATCTAAAATTATTCCCTACTTACTATTATCTAATTTTCCCACAAAAGAGAATGAAATACAGATAGAACTGAGAAGTTACCTCTTTGTTCTGTTTAAGTGACAAAGCCGACAGGTGACATTAAACTTGCTGACTGCACATTCAGTCCCATAACTCCTCAGATCTAACCACAGAACCCCCAAAAGGAAAACTTCTTACCACTTGGGCTTCGAAAAAGAACAGGTGCAGTCAAGTTGTCGGGGTCTTGGGGGGTGGCTTCCTGGACCATTTCATCACTGTCAGACTCTTCAGCCATGGCCTCTTCTGCTCCCTCATGCTGCCAACCCCCCTGCCCTGGCTCCTCAGTCTCAGCATCACTGCCCACCAGGCCAGAGTAACAGGCTCTCTCTTCCAAGCCATTACTGGGCAAGGCAATAACCTGGGCACTCATCAGGGCTTCCATCTCTTCAAAGAAGGGGCAGGTCTCAGGTGGGTGACCACTCTTGACTTTCCTATAACTCTTCTGGAGACCTTTGAACTTGGTCCGACATTGTTCGAGGGTCCGAAGGAAGCCAAACTCCCGGAGCCGCTCAGCCACAGCTCCATACACTTGGCTGTTTCGGTGACAGTTTCGGAGAGCCTCATAAAACTCAGTCTGACTGAGAATTGCAAGGAGAGTTCTGGTCTCTTCATAGCCCCAGTGCACACCTGCTACCTTCTCATCCTCAAAGCCCCAGTGATCCTGTTCCACCCAGGTCCTTCTCTCTCTCTTGGATGATAACAGATCAGCATGCATTTGTCTATCTCCTGTGTGACTGCCTCTTGAGAGTTCCTTCTCCTTGGAGCCCAGAGCAGGGACCAATGGCTCTCCTTGCTCCAATCTGGAGACCACACCGGATTTAGGAAATGGAAATCCTGCTTGCAGGGAAGCAAACAAAGGATATCATAATTTGGATTGATCATAAAAACACCTCTGAGTTCAGATCTGCCTTTTTTTTATTTTAATCCAAGAGGCTTTTATAAAGAAAGTGTCTAAGGAAGTGTTTTCAGAAAGTTCAGTGGGTTGGAGAAAGTACACAAAACCTCAAATAATGAGAATATTTTCCAGTGCAGGGTGACAAGAGAGGAAAAGGTTCTGTTTGCGTGTTCAGAGCAAACAGTTATGCTCCATGTTGCTCCCTAGTCTTCCTCACCACTTACAGGCAGGTCTTGGCACTGCTGGGAACAGGCACCTCCTGTCTCCTGTAAGTTCTCTGCTTGGGGCTAGAAAACTAAACTCAAGAGTGATTTCAAGAGAGAGAGGAGCAGGCGTGAGTGGGGGCAGGCGGGACTTCAACTCATCCATTTCCTTGACACTATCACCAAGTTCTAAAAGTTTTTCACTTTAGTATGTCCTCTGTTCTTCCGGCCACCATCCAAGTCTAGACTCCTTATCCTCTCACACCCAGATAACTGCAACAGTCACTGTCCTGCCTGACTCCAGGTTCTTGCTTCCTCAGTTCAAACACTATACTGTTGAACCTTAACCTGAATGCCTACCACGCACTATCCATTCATATCAGACTCCCCTCCAGAATGCAGCATACATTTATTCATCACTTTGTGCCTTTCCTTTAAGTCCCTCCTATCCAAATGGAACCCATTCTATGAGAAGCTATATTTGCCAAAGCCCCCCATGAGCCTTCCCTACTGCCCTCCCTCATCGCCCACTCTGCCAAACCCCTACTGTACTCACACAACTTGAGTAACAAGTCATTGTTTGGCATGGTTTCAATAAAGTTGAACACATATTTGCTTTCAATCACACCATAAGCTCTTTGAGAATAGGCACCTTTGCTTATTGCAGAGTACCTTGCAAGGCATTAGAATACACTTAGGTGTTCAATAACTGATTAATTCTGCAAGTCTCTATGTAGAATTGCATCTGAATTACTAAACAGGCCCTTACAAACTGCTGAGAAGGCTAGCATCTTAGACGATAAGATCAGAATTCAAAACAACCTCAAGTTAAATGATTAAAAAAACAAAAAACAAAAAAATGGAGTTCAACCAAGTACAAAGAAGAAAAACGAGTTCTACAAAATCAGGTACAACAATAAGCACTAGCCACAAAGACAATGGGAAAGCTGTAAGAGTCCTGGGAGTTACCAAGTAAACAATGATCACCAAATAATCAGTTGAGCTATACTGAAAGAGAACATAGTGAAATTCAAAAGTAAAATTCCTATTCTGCCTGTACCTACCAGGCCCCTCCCTGGAATAATATAATTTAGTTCTCCACAATTAACATATTTGGAAGACTTAAAGGTTCCAAGGGAGAATAACAAAAACTTAGTAAGTTTAAAGAATGGCACTTCTGGGGAAGAGCTTAAGGAAATAAAATACAGTTTAATTTGGAGAAGGAAAATGACTGAAAGGAGGCTGTGCCTTCAAGTATAGAAAAGAATTTTTATCTAGAAAATACTGACCTAGTATCATCATTGCCAAGAGGAAATAAAATAGTTCCAATTCTGAAAAAAATCGGGAAGCCATCCTCTGGCAGACTCGTCAAGAAGAAATATGAGAATACTATAACAGAGGGCTAAACTACATACCTTCAGGAGGTCTCCAACAACTGCATACTCTACAATTTCAACTCAATTCCTAAAATCCCTTTCCCACTCACTATTCCCAACCCTACTTCCCAATTTAGAATGGCATCCTATCCTCCCATATGAATCTACTCCTCACCGCTCCTTTGAAAAGGTCTGAGCTTCTCCTTTGGATTCATCTGCTCCTGTGGTCTCAGGTCTGGGCTTCTTGCCCTCTCTTTCTTGGTTACACCCCTGGGCTGGGGTTCCACTGACTCCTGCCGAACACTTAATAACTCTCGTGATGATTTCAGGGGTGTCATCTTCTCCAAGCGCACTTCCTGCCCCTTCACAGAGACTGTAACCTAGAAACAACCCCCATTAATTGTCACTGCAAGGTTATAATGAGGGGCACTCCCAGAGGAGATTATTTAATACCCCAAAAGAGCTCATCCTCTTGGGACATGGCTAGGGTTGGGGGGAAGGGGAGAGGGTTTAACAGTGAACAAGGGTCTTTCTTACTCCATGAGCTTAGAGCAGCTGCAACTCCAGAAGGAAAAGATCAAATTAGTAAACCCAACTACAAGCTAAAAAATACTTCCCCTTTCTTCCCTCGAAAGTAAAAACACCGTTAAACCATGAATAACTCATTGTGACAGGGTAGCAAAGGTACACCCAGGTAGCATCTCCAGACAAGCTCTATCTGAAAAAGTTACCTGTTCCAGGACCAGAAGAATGAGCATCACCAAAGGAGATTGTGCCCCTCTTTAAACCTGCCTATATCTTAATTGGGCCCTTTATCCTTGCCCCTTCCCAGTCACACACTTTAGAATTCCCCCTCCCTTCTCACCGAACTTCCAGGTCTTCCAGGCTCTCTTTCTAAATCTTCCACCAGAGCCACTGCCTCCTCTCCACTTTCTGGACATTGCTCCTGTACCCAATCCTGGATCTCCCCAGGTAAGATGGTCAGGAACTGCTCTAGCACCAACAATTCTACAATCTGCTCCTTGGTGCGCACCTCCGGCCTTAGCCAACGACAGCAAAGTTCCCAGAGTTGGCTGAAAGCCTCCCGGGGCCCAGCTACCTCCTGGTAGTGAAATCTCCTGAAGCGCTGTCGGAAGGTCTCAGAGTTAGGGCCATTCCCTCTCAGAGTGGGTTTGGCCATCATTCACAGCAGAAAGCAGCTCCCCTCCACTTAAGGGTTCGAGGGCTTACACCTATTTTCCCATGTCCTTGGAGAATCACCTGCAGATGAGTCTCTCACTGTAAGAAGAGTTTCTTCCTAGGGTAGAGAGAGATGGCACTATCAGAAGAAATACACTCATAGGTCTAAAGTCTCGCCAAGAGCTGGCCTGCTTTCCCATATACTCCACATGGCCATCTGAGGTAGCACCAACTTCAGGATAGCAAGCCAAAACTGAACATGAAGGAAAGAGACCTTTCAAAGGCTGCATTTCTGGGTGACTTCCACAGCAGCCCCGGGAAGCAGCAGAGAATAAAGTACTGTCTGCTCTTCTTCTACCTCCCCCCAAATCTGATCCCATTTAGCTCCCCTGACCAATGTTGCAAACTGAGTTTGAACCATAATGGGAAACCTGGAGCTTGAGAGGATCTAAAGGCAAGTCACCATCCTGCTGAAGGCAACAAAAAGCCTCTGTCCAGCGGGTCGCAGCTGATCTCTCCCAGTACCTCTGCAAGTCCTTCCAGAGGCCCTTTACATCCTCCCCGCCCCCTCAGACTCCACAACTACCAGTTCCCACCCGGGACAAAAATCAAGTACTGAATACTGGTCTTTGTTTTCCCTCACAGCAGAAGTAAACGATCAGAAACTGTTCGGGAATTATTGACGGGAAACCTCGCGCATTGGGAGGACTGGTTTTGGTTCCTGAAGAAGGGCCGGTGGGCGTAGGGAGTCACACACAGTTGGTGGAGAGAGGGAGTCCGAGAGGGCAGTAGTAATGGGTCTTCTGATGACGAGTTCGGTTGCTGGCCAGGGGCTCGGAGGGCTGCGAGGTTCGCGGGAGTGGGGCTCAGCTCAAAGAGCGGCGGGTGCGGGATTCCGGCCTCTTTGTCTTCGCTCTCTCCGGCCAGGTCACTCTCGGAGCTGTCGTACAGTCCCTCCAGAGGCCTCCGACCAGGCCAAGGCGCCCTGAGAGCACCCTCCGACTACCCGTGGGGGCGTCTCCCTCTCGGGGCTGACCCTCAACCCACTTGCATTTCTGCCCCCGGGCCTGCCTCACCCTCTTAGGGTCGGGCCCCAACCCGGCTCTGCAGCCTCCCAGTCCAGCTCTCAAACCGGAAGTCCGAACGGGCGCCTCCGGCGCATGCGCAAGGGCAGCTACGGAGACTCCTCCAGCAGAGCCCCTGCAGCAGCGAGCGAGTCAGCCCAGCCGAGCGCGGCACACTTCCGGGACGCGGCGCGCCTATCCCGTACCCTTTCCCTTCCACTCTTCCCGCAGTTGTCCTGCCACTTGGGATTCAGGACGAACAGCCTGTCCCAGGGGCCTGGGCGCTTGCACAGAACGCAGCATTCGCCTCCGTGGTCCTCTGGAGGGGCGCTGCAGGAGGGGGCGACGGATATAAGAACTCGAGATCCGCCGCGGGAATGATCCACGAACTACTCTTGGCTCTGAGCGGATACCCAGGGTCCATTTTCACGTGGAACAAGCGGAGTGGCCTCCAGGTACGGTCGGACTCAGAGCGCGGGAACTCGCGAGCGCATAATGGGCGTACCCAAGCCCGTGCCCGGGGGAGGAGTTTGCGAGGGCGGGGGGTGGGGCTTGCAGAGGCTGAGGCGGTTCGGAGGCGTGTCCCTAGACTGGTCACGGGGGAAGTGCGGGAGGGGGCCTTTGTGCGCGGTACCGCATCTGGAGAGGGCTGGGCCCAGGCTGGCGGATGGAAGGCGGGTGCCTGAGGGCCCCGCCTTCGGGACGGGGAGGGAGCTCGCGACCGGGCCTAAGGTTGAGGTGTCTGAGCGCGTGTTGCTGGGGAACTGGATGTAAAGCGAGTTTCACCCATTTTCACGCACCCATTTGCAGTGCAAATACGTAGCGCCTAACATAGTAAGAGGTCAGCTACTTTTGTTGTCTGAAAAATGAATGAGAGTGTTTCCCTCATTACTCCTTTCGCTGGAAATTTCTGCACTAGGAGAATTTGGAAGGGAGGCAGGCTTTCACGTAACCAGAAATGTTTAAGGAGGAAGGGCTAGGTACTGTATGCATTATCTCATTCAATCTGCAGGATCACCTATCTCCATTTCACAGATCAACTTCCTGTATCTGGTAGCTAGTAATTAGCGAGCTTGGTCTTGAACCTCAGGCCTGCTTGGCTATGGTGTCTGAACCACTCTTTTCTGCTTTTTTTTTTTTTATTTTCCAGTCCTCTCAATAACTTAGTAACTTAGGTATTGTTAGCCCTTACTTACAAAAAAGCAAACTGAAGCCCAGAGAACTTGTGGCGGCTAGCCCTGGTAATGGCAAGATTTGAGTCTAACTCTGTCATATCACAGTCATGCCTATTCCAAACCAAGCAACAGATTCTGAACTATGGAGAACAAAGTGATAGTTACTAGAGGGAAGAGAAGTGGGGAGATGGGCTAAATAGGTGATGGGGATTATGGAGTGATCTTGTGATGAGCACTGGGTGTCCTTATATTGTACACCTGAAACTAGTATTACACTTTATGTTAACTAACTGGAATTTAAATAAAAACTTTAAAAAAAAGTCATGCCTATTCCTATAAGAATTGCCAGTATAGGCTGCAGAAGAGCAGAAAAATTACATTCCTCTATAAAACCTATAAATCAGATTCCTCTTGTTATTTATTTTCCCCCATAAAACTAACAATGGCAGGCATAAAGGAAGAAACTGTATAGGAAGTATTTGTGGGTGCTTGACTGAAGTAAAAAGATAAAGTATAGGAAGGATAGTTGCCTTCCTTTCTTTTTTATAAAAAAGTCTCAAGTCTCCATTTTCCTTAGGGTCAGAGAGAGAGGGAGACAAAATCTGAAGCAGGCTCCAGGCTCTGAGCTGTCAGCACAGAGCTCGATGCGGGGCTAAAACTCATGAACCGTAGGTAAGAGCCTGAGCTGAAGTCGGATGCTTAACAGATTGAGCCACCCAGGTGCCCCTGGATATTTTCCTTCTTAAGGTGTCAGCTTCAAAGTCACCCCAGAAAAATGTTCTCTGACCATCTCTTTAAGTATCCTCCCCTTATGCCATTATTCTCCATTACAACAACTTATTTCCCTTATAGGACTTATCACAGTTTATATTAGTTTTTACCTGTGTATAGTCTTTCTCCCACATAGGTTGCCCATAGCAGCGAAGACTACAGTGGTTTTCTTCATCTATGTAGCCAGCACAGTTTCTGCCACTTGGTAGGTGTTCAGATATTTGTGGAAGAAGACTACTAAAAACAGAAAATATTGATACATTCTGCAGTGTTTTCACATTTGAATAAAGGGGAAAATTGTCATGAATGCCTAATGTTGACAAAATTCATTTTATTGTAATACTGAATATGCGTACACCTTAATCTAAGTATAAGCTCAAATTTATTTGAGTGTAAGCTCAATTTATTGCTCTTAAAAAAAAACCTGTAAAACCAAATATTTTTACAAAGTAAACAAAACTACCAAATGGATGCACTCAAAATGATGTTAATCTAATGCACGGTTTCTCAGCCTGGTTTCTTTCTCATTGTTGACATTTCGGGCTGGATAATTCTTTGTTGGGGGTTGTGTCCTGCCTGTGCATTATAGGGTGTTAAGCAGCATTCATGGCCTCCACCCACTAGATGCCAGTAGTACCCCTTGAGTTGTAGCAATAAAAAATATCTGCAGATATTTACCAAATGGGGCAAAATTGCCTCTGAGAACCAGTGATCTAATGTGACATAACTATTGTTGTGCTGAAACTAAATCCCCAACATTGAGTTTAATAATAGTATGACAGCTGCAGATGTGGCTGCATATTCTGTTTTGACTTCAGTAAGTCTAGTATGGAGAATGCCTGTTCATGTAAGTAGGTTGCACCAGATGGTACCAATAAATTCAAGGTATTGTTTGCTGTTTCAGAATAACTAGACCTTGAACTTTTGTAAAACTCTGCCACCAAAGCACTGCTTAGAATTCCAGTTTTAATGGGAGCATCACTTGATAACTGGGTAGATCTGTGTTAATAATAAAAAATTACTGGGGCACCTGGATGGATCAGTTGGTTAAGCGTCTGACTTCGGCTCAGGTCATGATATCGCCGTCTGTGAGTTCACTGTGAGTTCGAGCTCCTCATCAGGCTCTGTGCTGACAACTCCGAGCCTGGAGCCTGCCTCAAGTTCTGTGTCTCCCTCTCTCTCTGCTCCTCCCCCATTCATGCTGTGTCTCTCTCTCTCTCTCTCAAAAATAAAAATAAACATAAAAATATTTTTTAAAAAGTAATAATAAAAAATTGCTTACGTGTATCAAGCATTTGCTATGTGCATGGCTTTACATGCATTAACATTTAACCTTCACAATTGTTATCTCCATGTTATGGGTATGAAAACTGAGGCACAGGCAGGTATTATAACTTGCCTAAGATTTCAAGCAAGTTAAGAGGCAACTCATGGTGGCTTCTTTTTTTTTTTTTTTTTTTTTTTTTTGAGAGAGAGAGTGCGAGCAGGGGAGGAGCAGAGAGAGAGGAAGACACAGAATCTGAAACAAGCTCAGGACTCTGAGCTGTCAGCACAGAGCCTGATGTGGGGCTCAAACTCACAAACCTTGAGATCATGACCTGAACCCAAGTAGGGCACTTAGCTGACTGAGCCACCCAGGCACCCTCCAAAGACAGATTCTTAAGCATTTAAGTCATGTTACCTCATAAGTTATTAACTGGAAGATATGGTTAGCAGTGATATTAAAATCTGTGTTAAGTGGATTCCTAAACAAATTATTGTGGATTCAGTAACAGAAAAATTCTTCTTTGCCTATTTATTACTGCTTTTATTGTTATTTACAGATGGCATCCACAGGCACACCTGGCTGGCTCAGTTAGAAGAGCATGTTACCCTTGATCTCCGGGTTGTTACTTAGAGCCCCACGTGGGGTATAGAGATTACCTAAATAAATAAAACTTTAAAAAAAGATGGCATCCACAAAATACAGTACTTGCAATATAAATATGCAGTAT